GGTTGGACTCGATGATCTTAGAGGTCTTTTCCAACCTTAATGATTCTATGATTCTATATCATGGATGAATTATATGTATGTTGGAGGGGGGCAATTCTAGCAGACACTGCTTCTTTCTGTAGAATCATGGTACCTGTTCTCTGTGATGGATATGTAAAGGGGCAAGAAATGACTATCTGCTGGCTAATTTAATAGCTAGAAGTGATTAAAATATACAGGCATGCGGTTTCCCTCTTGCTCTGTAGGTGGCACTCTTGAACTGCTGCCTGAAACTTGTGAAAGGCACATGAAGCTGTTCGTGCATTTGTGTTTAAGGTGAAGGCTAAAACGAACTGGGTGTTTAGTTCTGTGAAGGAAAGAGTCTTGAATTTCATTTCATATGAAGTTCAACTTCAGTATCGCAGTATAAATTTTTAGTTTGTATGGGCAGAAATGCAACCAAGTTTTATGAACTCCCTTATTTTAAGTAATTTTTGCTATACTGTTTCGTTTTTTTTAATTTGAATTCTTCTCTTCTGCTCCCCAAGTAAAGGACTACTGAGAGAGCACACCACAGCATCATCAACATAAGATAGGTTAGCACTAGTGAGGATTACTTTGTACATGTAGATCAGGATGTGTCAGCTGAGCTCTGCTGTGAGAGTTTTTTTTTTTCTGCCTGGACAGAGTAAGAGCACAGCCAGTTATAAGTATTAATGGAAGTGTAGCGTAAGGGCATAATTTCTGAGTCCTAGAGAAGCAAGTGAGGGTGCAAGAGTAGCATGTGACTCTGTATTGTAGTTGGTAGGAAAACCTTAATTCACTTGTGTGAAAATAGGATTTCATCTTTTTGATGTTGAAGAACTGGGAAAAGGAAAATAATTCTACATAAATTGTAGTTAGGCTTGTATTTTGGTAGGATCTTAACATGATTCACTAAGTTTGATATATACTTTGTAAGAGTACAGAGTTTAGCACTGTCTTATATTTCTTGAGGGGTAGGGCAGTTCTAGTAAGCTGTCAGATGTAATCAGGTCTTCAGGAGAAAAAATTGGGTAGGTTCTTCTTCCTATCCTAAAGCTAAGCAAACAGGCAAACTCCACCCCCACATGCAAACTGTTTGCCTAGCAGAACTTGATACCACTGTTTGTGGCCAGCCAACTGTTGCATGTACAGATTAATTGTCTATGCATGTTTCATTTATGAACAGTATTTTTTTTTTCCGGGACTTGAAAAATTACACGATGTTTTTCAATATGGCAAATGAACCCTTAGAAATTACTTCATCATTTTTATTTTATTTTGGGGCTCAAACATACTATTTAATGTTAAGCCAATCAAAGTTATGCCTTATGGGAATCATGTCTGTTAGTGACACATCCAGTACTGTCTTACAGTTGAAATGCAATATGGATGGCACACCTAACCAGTATCAGTAAATTTTAAATTCCACTTATATATTTGCCATACAGCATGTGTAGCCTTTAAAAACATTATAATTTTAAGATAGCTTGTTCCTTTCATTAAGACTATAACTTACACAGCTTTGTTCAATGAAATCAAGGTAAATAAGAAGTTGTCTTGGTGGTCTTTGCATTTCAGAAGATTCTTACGATTCTGCTTTTTTACATTAGTACATGAAAGGGCTGTCAACTCTGGGATTTTGGGGGGGAGGGTTTAAGTGTGGAAGAGTACTGTAGTTCTTTATTTTGGCAGTATCACAACTGCTTCTAGGTTATTGTCTTTGGGATTCTATGCTGTAGGTACCTGGAGTTCACGGATTATGTTGCTAAATTGTTAAAGGTTCAGAAAAGAGCTAAGATGATCATGATAGATTGGAGTATGTGTCTTGCAGTGTCAAAGACCTCAGTCTTGCTTCTCAGTCCTTGGGTAAAGAGTGTGTATTTGGTCAAACAGGAATTGATTAAGCATTTTCTGAGTTAATTAGTTTGAACTAGAACATCTGTTTGGGAGGAGGAGTGGGAAGAGGAACTCCAGGGGAACTTATCTTACAGCCTGCATTATTTGAGGCTAAATTGTCAAGACTAAAATCTCAGTGTTCCCTGCTGACTTTATAATGAATGAATATCATTTAGCATTGTTGAATTTTTGTTCCTTATGGGGAGATATCCTTTGATGCTTTAGAGATGTAATGTGGATTGCAAGGTTCACACCAGAAGCTTCCAAAAAAAACAAATTATGTTGCAAACTTTATAGGTTCTGTGCCTTTTAATATGGTATTATTGTAGGAGTATGAAAAGTAGTACGATATGGGTGTTGGAGATACACCAAGAGCCTTTTTTTATATATATTAAAAGCTATACTGAAAATAATATGCTTCCTTGACAGCAGTTAGCTGTTTAGTAATTTTCCTGGCATTGCAGTTTTAAGGTTGTATGACAAGAATCAGAAAATTGCACAGTAATTTTAAGAAATTATTTCTCTTGGTGTGAGGGTGTGTTTTGCTGGTTTTGCTTGGGTTTTTTTTTTTTTCCTTATGACTTCCCTTTAGGAGTGGGAAGCTTACAGAAGAGTGAAGCTTCAGCAACCCAGACATTTCCATCAGTCTTGCTTGGTTTGTTTCTCTATAGTTCTCTAATTTCAGAAGGATCAATAAAAATACTCTTAAGTGTCATCGTTTTCCAGTTAAGGCTTAAGTTACTAGGCTTTTTTTGAGAAGAAGAAACTTCGGTTACATTATTGAGGTGGGGGTGGAGACACAATGGGCTTTTTGCAGGTTTTACTGTATGGTTTAAGATGATAAAAATGCAGAACTTTACTTGAAGACCTAATTTTTCTAATATAAATTGTGATTTCTCAAAAGCTACAATTCTCCTTATGATGATGTGTGGGAGGCTGTGTTTTATTTAGGTTTTTTACTTAATGTTTTTAAAATTTTATTTTTGGTTTATTCTTTTTGGTTTAGAAATGTTATCCATAACAGTAAAAAAGTATTAAAGTATTGCCTGTGTGTATAGTACTGTCTATTGTGAGTGGGTTTTTTGATATTAAAACAAAGCTGTTTTTCTTTCAGGCTTTCCTCTGTTCTTTTCTCATCTTCATAAAAGAAAAAAGAATGGAAGGCATGTTATTCTCTCTGAGCACAATTTATTCTTTTTGGTTTAGAAATGTTATCCATAACAGTAAAAAAGTATTAAAGTATTGCCTGTGTGTATAGTACTGTCTATTGTGAGTGGGTTTTTTGATATTAAAACAAAGCTGTTTTTCTTTCAGGCTTTCCTCTGTTCTTTTCTCATCTTCATAAAAGAAAAAAGAATGGAAGGCATGTTATTCTCTCTGAGCACATTTTTCAGCCTTTACCAAAAAAAAAAAAAAGTGAAAAAGGAAAAATTTTCCTTCTTGCTAATTTTAAAGTTAAGGAGGCTTGTACTTACATCTCTGTTATTTTCTAACATCTTAATAAAGTTACTATGGCTTGTAATTATGAGCCCCCTTTTCTAAATGTGATAAGTTTGACATTATGAAAGCTATTCTTAAAAGAAAAAAGGCCAAATGTGAGTGCATTGTGCGGATTGTGAGGATAACTGGCATTAGTTTTTTGTTTAAAAAAGAATTTTAAAAAATATGCACTGGAAACCTAATCCAAATACAAGTCTATGAAATCCTCTCTTTAAAGTAAGAACAACCCTGGAACTTGCTGGATTATTAGTCTGATTTGTACGGGTTTTTTAGTCAATGGGAATTCTTTGGGAATATAAGTATTTAATTGTGAGTACTTTAATTTTTTTTGCGATAACTTTAATAGCAATCTAGCAATCTCCTTATGAGTACCCCTTTATATATTTTAGTAGTAAGATGGACAAGTTAGGCCCACCACTGCGAACTGGAAGAGATGTGCAAAGGTTTTATGACACTGATACAAAAACAGACAGTACCGTCAAAAGACCAAATGAGTTGTTGCCTATAAAGAAGTAAGTATTACAAATCAGCGTGGTTTATCTGTTTTGCAGAAATGTTCCTACAAAGCATTGGAATAGTAAAAGTGTGACCTTGACAGACATCTGCTGCCCAGTATGTCTTCAGTATAAATGCTGTGGGATGAGTATATATTATAATTAGTATAAGTATCTGTTTCATCCTAGGTCAACAGCTTCATGGTAGGACAGGAAAGATGAAGACTTTTCTCAGATTTGATTTCTTCTGTCACTGATTGATTATGGACTAAGAGTAATGAACTTCTGTCTTTGTAAACCTGAGATAAAACTGAATTTGCATGATGTAAAGCTGAAGTAAGCATTTAAGCCTGATAACTGTACAAATATCTGCCTTACAGGCAAATGTTTTAAGATAATAAAATTACTTTGTCATAAAGTCAAATATTTATCTATGTCCTACTTCTGTAAGATAGCTGTGGTGGTCCAAGAACGTAAGTCAGGCAGACTTTCTAATGAGAGGTGAAGTCTTTTATTAAGTCCAACTTATCTCATATAAAGACTTCTGAATATTCATCAGGTTTAAGATCTAAGTTTAGAAGAAAGGTATTCCAATCTTTTAAAAAGGAAATAGATACTATATTGTAGTTAACCCTTCGATATAATTTGGAAGATGCCAAATTCAAATGGGCTGATTCTTCATAAACAATACCTTAAAGCATATTGCAAAAGAGAAATTAGTAATGAATTATATGGCACATACATGGAATGTAATGCTTTAAATAGTAGAAATGTGTCTAAATCTCTTAATGCTGTTTTGTTGTTGTAACCAACGCTGAAGTATCTTTGAGACAGGACCAGAATGTTTGAACTTGGGTTTCTATTTGAAGAAGCAAAAGGGATGAAAGGGGGGGAGCTCTTTTTAGGCAAACAAATTTTTTTGTTGTTCCTTTGTATGTTTGGTTAGAGCTATAAATCCTGTATGAAAAATTAGGTCAGTTTTTCATTTTACAATACATTACCAAGATGTTGAAAATGTGGCTTAATGAGTTACTAAATGTGCTTACAGTAGCCCCTATCCACAGCAGTAGTTTGATTTTTCTTCTTGAGAGAACTTCTTTAAGAGTATAGGCACTTACTCTGCTGCTTCTGTTCTTATGCAAATGTCCACTAAGTTCATGAATTAAATCTGCCTTCCTTGCAGGAGGTTATTCTATATGTTACGTGCCAACAGCACTGGACAAATGTGAATAGCTACTGGACATTGTTAAATTCAGCATAGCAATGTGGAAGATTACAGTTTATGGCAAAGGCTTCTGAACTTTGGCATGCATGCCATTAGTCATAAGGAACTTATTTATGATTTTGCACAGAACTATGAGCTGTTGTGTGTGACAGTGATAGCTGTCAAGAATATCTGAAAACGCCCTGTCTAGGAAGCAAGCTTGATATTTCAGTATTTTATGGCAAAATCCAAACAAATTGTGAACGTATAAATAGAAAAATACAAGCTTCTCACAAATTTCTTTCAGTTTTTCATTTTGCAAGCAGTGGTAATTCAACTAGATGTACAACATGAGCTGCTTTAGGAAGGGAAGTCCCCTTCAGTCGTTTCTTTTGAAATTGAGAATGGATAATAAATGTCTTTAAAGGTATGTCCAGATTTTAAGAGTTCAAGGTGGCATTGGTACACAGCCTCATTTGCTGTCAGGCTCCATTAATACTTCACGTGATACAACTTAGAACAGGGATTTATATAGCTTTGCAAAAACAAACAAAAAAATCCAGCCAAACAGAAAAAACAACAGAACTGGACAAGTAGATAGAAGTGGCAGAGGTTGGACAGATTTGAAGAGACCAAGTTGTGGTGACAGAAGTTGAGATAATCAAGAACGTCTGACTTTGTTGGAACACATCTGTCTCTAGAGATCAGATTGCAACTTAAGAATGCAATTTCAAGATTTCTCATCCAATGTACATGAAACCTGATGCTAATTATGTGTCTAGATCTGGGATGAATAAAGTTGTAGGCAGTGGCAGCCTGCTACTTCTGTTGATTTACACATCAAAAATGGCAGAAATCATTGCAGGTAATTGTAAGACTCATATTAAAGTTTCCAGTCTGAAAATAGATTTGTGTGTTTTCTGTATTTTTGGAAAACTAATTGGGATAAAAATCTGCAGAAATTATGCAGAAAGCTATGTTTAAACATTTCAGAATTAAGGTGTTCTGTTAAACCTTTAATGGGTGATGTTTTATCTCTTCATGGGACTCTGCCTCCCTCAATAGACAGGGTGGACAATGCACTTTCAGTGTGGCTTTTCAGTATTTTTTTTTTCCTCCTGGTTCAGTCAGTGGCCTGTATGTCGTACTAGACACCATACAAATCATGTTTTTAAGACACTGATTTCTGGGAAATTTCTGTAGGATACACCTAGTATTAAAGCATCAGGTGAATTTTCAGAGTACCTAGTGGGATTTTAGAGAATTGAACAGTTGAAATACAGGTAAGAATAGTGGACAGTTTTTCATGTTAATTTCTTTCAAATATCTAGGACTTCTAGCATTATGTTCAAAACTGATTGATTCAAAGTACACCCTGAAGAGATTTCAGTTTAAGAAATTAATGCTGTTAGTTTTGAAAAAGTAGTATGTTGGTCCCAAGTTGAGAATCCAGAGAAAATGGAGTCAGTAATACTTTCAAAAAATTTGTTTTAAATTACTTGGAGTTGTCTAAACAGGAATCGAGACACAATTCTGTTCTTTGCATTATTGTCTGATCATCCCTGATCCATGATGACTTGTACTGTTTCTGTGTCTACAGCTGAATTTTTCTTTATATGCTTTTCTAGCTTCGATAACAAGTAAAGTAACAGTCCAGTATGTTCTTTCCACTGTTGAGCTCTAATGAATTTTACTCAGTTATAAGCAAAGGTCTCTCTTTGGTGTAAAATGAGATGGGGGAAGTAACACAAGATAGAGTATTTAGCATCTGTACTGTTGTGCATACTTTTAACAGTGTAATTTAGGTTACATTTAGAACTTTTATCCTGGAATTCTGTAACTTCTGAAAGACCGATGTAGCTTTTAATAGGTTTTAATTCTGATATAACTTATGTAGTGCTTTTCAGTCAGTATTTTTTTTTAAGTAAAACCACCTTTAGAATCCCCTTGCTAAATAAGAGGGCAGACAGGAAAACTAATGGAGAAGGTTGGTGTTCTGCCTGGTGAGCCAGAATCTTTGATGGTTCCACTCTACTTGTTGCATGTAGAAGCCATTCTTAAACTTGAATACTTTTGTTAGATATAATTTCATTTGATTTAATCTTAAATTTAGTTCCTGATTTCCACTTCTGTGCTAATCATTTGATCACTTTTCCACTGAAGTGTTTAAGTGAGGAGCTGAAAAGCCATCTTTAGCCTATGCTCATAACATGAAGGAAGAAATGTTTTATGCAACATGTCTAAAATTTAGGAGTTATTACATTGTTTCTCAGTTGTGTCAGTGTTGTGGTTGAAGTTACTGGAGTTGAATGCATTTCCCTTATACATACTTTGAAAACAAAACCAAGACTAAGTTGTTTATAATTCTGAAAGGAGCAGTTAGGTTCATCTGAAGGGAAGGAAAAAAAAAAAATCACTTTTGGGTTTTTGTTGCTGATTGGGCTCTTGGTGACTAATTTTTTAAATGGAGTCTTGTTTTAATTTTATGTGTTTTTTTAATGTCCATAAGCCAGTCACAACTTAAATTTCATTTCTGCATTGGTGTTCAAGAATGAGAACAGAAAAACTTGGTGGGTCATGCACAGATGTCATAGTCACTGAAGTCTTGCCAAAGAAGAAGAAATCCCAGTGAATGGTAATTCTTTTGAGCAATGACGAAAAATTCTGTCCTTGGTCACTGATGATAAAAGGATGCCCCTTCCTATCTCTTTTTCTTAGTGCTACTCAGATTTTTGAGGGGATTCTGATGTTTCTCTACTCATCAAAGCAAGCAGTGAGATGTTCTGTATGTTTAGGATGTGCTATTCATTGCATACTGGCTTCTCATAAAACCCATGAGTCTTGAGGAAAGCAGCTTTCACAGCTATGTGGTCATACTACTGAAACCAACTTTAAGAACACTGTGACAGGCTAGAAAAAAATTAGGCCCTAATACCCAGCTGGATAGACTTTTTCCTCTCCTCCTTCTGTTTATATTTATAAATACAATACTTATGCTTTGAAGAAAGAGGATCTACAGCATTATCTGAGAAGTATGCATCCTAAATAAAGTCTGTCTATGAAGAAAAAAGTCTTGTGACTCACTTCATATTGGTCACAAAGTATTGAGAATATGGTATCCTTTCTACATTTTTTTTTAAACTATTAAGACCTACAGTCAGCTGCTCTCTATTTCTCTGAAAGCCCTGCCAGTCCTAAAAAGTGATGTGTAGTCTGTCAAGGTAGACATTAGAACATACTAAACAACCAGGAGCGCAGGATCTACCTGTATTTTGGCGTGATAGCAAGGGAAAAACATGAACAGGAAGGAACTTGCGGTTCCATTTAGCTTGTCATTGTAAGATTCAAGTCATATTCAATCCAAACCATGCAAGGTCATGCCAAAGCTCTTCTGTCCATTCTTGGTAGGAAATGTTATATTTTTTTTATACAATTAATTGATGCGTAGATTGTTGAACTAATTTTTTATATCATTTGTAAATGCATATTCTTGTATATATTTCTGTGTGTATATAAATCATCAGATATTTATTCTGTTTTAGAGGCGCAACAAAAACACGGACATCGACCCCTCCTAGTGTGGCAAGAACCATGAGCACGGGTGCTCTAACAAACAAAAGAAAAACTAGCAATTCAGACAGTTATTCAAGGTAGTTTTAACTTTGTGGATTTTGTCAGCAATAGAACCTTCATTAAAGGGGAGTACTTACTACAAAAGAAGTTGGGGAAAATATTGTTCTCTGCAGTCAATAGATAACACATGGTCAATATTATTTGGCATGTTTAAGATACTCGACATATTTCGCATATTTATCATCTAACAGAACACCTTTGTCATCAGCTGTCTCAGATGTGCACAGAAGACTGTTAGAAATGTCAAAAACCTCTTAGGAGCTGTTGAAATAATAAATGAATGGTCTTTCAAATGGGAATTGAGTGGTTCAGTTGAAATTGAGTAAAATTTGCATGCTAAGCACACAAATTATCTGTTTTCTGCTCTTTTAAAGGGTAGGATAAAAATTGTATTGCTGTTTTAGCCTTTCTTGTTTTGACAAGCTAAGTTTTAAGTTTTCAAATGCTCCAGTTAATCTAACTAGTGAATCAAATATTTGATCCTGCTCCTAAAATTTTGGCATTTTTTGTCTTCTTGCAGGGAAGGTGGGTATCTGGAGATAAGTAGGGGAGTCTGGGTAGAGTTACAAGGTATACCACTGTAAATAAATAGGAGGTGTAAGCATGAAAATGACAGTAACAATAGCAGTAATTCACTGCAAGGATTAGAATAATTTTGCATCAAGTTATACTGAACTGAGTTACAGAGAATGTTCTTTATCTGGGGATTTTCAGGTCTGATGGTAAAATTGGGTATGACAGTGGAGACTACCCATCCTCAGTCAATGGAGGAAGTTCAAAAAGCAGTGAAGGAAATTCACCTGTACAGTTATCAAAGTTCTGCCATGAATGTGGAACAAGGTATCCAGTGGAATGGGCGAAGTTTTGCTGTGAGTGTGGAATTCGAAGAATGGTTGTGTGAACACATTCTTAAAAGCAAAAAGAAAACGAGAAAACGTCGGAAGCGTCTGCTATGTACTGCTGCATGGAAAGCTAGAGCACTCCTTCCAGTTAGACTTCATGCTGCAAACATGTTGAAACATCATATTGTGATTTTCTGAGTGCAATCTTCTGGTTACACACTTATTTATAAACAAATATATATACTGTATATAAAAATAGCAGGTACCTAAAACTCTGCCATTCAAGGAAATACTCTTTAATCTCTGTTGGAAATATTTAAAATTAAGGTAAAAATGTGTTAAGTAGCTTAGGTAGCAGAAGTGGTTCAATGTTGTTTTTCTTGTAAATCCTACTAGATAAAGGATTATTTAAATCACTTATGTAGGATAATATTTGCCCATAGGGAACTAGCCATGAAGAACTTGGGCTTCAAAAGTTTCTCTGTGGAGGCATTTCCTTCATATGTGACTAACTTAGATGCTATATTCTAAGTGAAAACAACATGAGTAACTCCTTATAAATTCCTAGTTAAAAGTGCAAAAAATCTGGATCCCTTTAAACTCTTCAACAGTAATATCCTCATTGGACTTTCCAGTTACTTCCTAGGATTTTTTTTAAAGAATCAAAGTGGAAAAACTACCTGAGAGTTCTGTTCACGTGTAAGAAAAGCAAGATTTTTGTTTGTGGCTTTCCATGTTCTGTTTTCCAATAAAAACGTGTTAATATTTTAATGTATTTATAAGGACAAATATGGTATTGTCATTTTATTAAGTTCCTTTTGTTCAGAAATACTTCTCTTCTTCCTCCTGTTCTCCACCATGACTAGCATATCTAAAAGTTTTGTGCTTTTTGCCTTTAAAGGTTTCCAAAGTTCCTGCTCTTTTTTTCTCTTCCCTCATTTCCTGAAGGAGAGACAAAGTCTATGCTTATCCTACCTAAATGTTGAACTCTTACTTTGAAAACAGCCTTTGTGATGTATCCAATACAAAAAAAGAGTTCCATAAAAATGTATGTTGTTAGAGCAGTAGAACTTGATGTAAGTAGTGACTGGTTTTTATTCTTATTCCTGTGCAAATAGCACAGCTTACATACGCGTGCATAATGGAGTAACTGTGCTCCATAGGTTTATATGTTAATACCTTTGCATGTTTTTTTGCAATTTTGTGTATTTTTGGGCTCTGAACAGCAGCCTCTGAACAGCAGCCTCTTGAAGTTAGTAACAGACTTCGCATTAATTGGCTGGGAAGAAGGGTCAGGCCCTGGAAGTTGTTGGGTTTTTTTATAAATTACACAGGATATTAAAATCATTCACAAGCCAAATCACTTAACTTGTATCTCAATGTAGTAATTTGTTTTGTGAAGTTTTGCTTTGAAGTACTGGCACCGTCTTAGTTATGTGTGAAAGAATAATCTGAAAGAACTTAATTGTGCCTTTCCCACAACAAATACACTCTTTTTGTCAGAAATGCTTATTTTCAGCTCACAAACACCATTAGTATAAATTCATATAATTTCTTTGTAGCTTATGCAAAATATAATGTAGTGTTCCAGATAGTTTTATGGTCACTGCATTCTCAAAACTTGTGATTACTATCAATGGGGCCAATTTTGAAGAAAGCATGATTGAAGAAAAGCATCTCCAAAGCAGGTACCAGTCTTGGAGGGTGAGAGATTTAAGAGACTTGATGTAGTCATGTTGCAGGCCACAAACTATTGATGTTTTAGAATTAGTTCAATGGTCTGCAATTGTCTTACACTTTTTATACGAAATTATTTTTAGAAATTATCCTTCATTCAGTGTAGTCTTGTTTTATTATAATTTGCGTAAGCTGGCTACTGAATGTGGTAGGATCGATGACTGGTAATGATTAGAACTGACAAATCTTAGCCAAATTATGTTCTAGGTAGTTTAGGTTCTAGGATCCATATTTTGGCACATTCATGTCTGTACTTGGAAAAATTGGAATCCTGCATCCTTTGCATAGATAAGCCTGCTTTAGAAAATTTGCCCTGGACTTGGGCCATGGAGGTCTGCAGACTGAATTATTGCAAACTGAGTGTCCCATCAGCAAAGATACAAGTCCAGAATAGATTTGATCAGTTAGTGAATCTACTGAGGAATCAATTTTTTTGTCTGACTTGATGAATTTCCAGTTCTTGTTTCTGCTGGAAAAATGCATTTTACCATTTATTGAAAATGCTTTCTACAAAGGGAAAGTTTAGTAAGGAAATAAATATCTTCCAGGTTTTCCAGGACTGCTGTAACTGTAGAAAAAACATATGACTGTTTCTCCTTTGAATTGTAGGTGGCAGGTTTCCTAGTTTCAAATCAATCCACATACAGTTACCATAATTTCTGCTTTTTGAACTGTTTGTATAACTCTTTGCTTCCAATGCAGCATTTAGTAAATTACTCGCGTGACACATCATTTACTTTATTTACACTTCTATGATTTATAGCAAGGACTAGACAGGGGATTAACCTGAACTGAAAGAAGAATTTTAAACAGATTTCCTGAACTTTTAATTTGGCCTTACAAGAAGGTCTAGTGCAACATAAGTGAGTGTTGATTGTAACACTGGATAATGTGTGTTTGAATCTACAATAAATATAAGCAGACAATGAAAATGTAACTGACTATGCAGTGTACTACTGTATGGTGAGACTGTCGGAGGCCTAGTATGTTTCCACTTCATCAACTGGTTTTGTTACTGAATGACATAGGTTTCTAAAGTCTCTGATGTTACAGACTGTTGGCTGTATTACACAAGTTATCAGCACAGATCACTGTAATTCCATCTCAGTGGAACGTTTGTTAGGAAATAGTAGATTTGTTTTCATAATGCCCCTGCAGAATTGAATATGGGAAACAAATTTGTTTAAAGAAAAAATAAACTGTTAAGGGAGATGGACTTTGAATTTTGAATCTTTAGGTACATTGCATGTGTCAGGAAGTTCCTGAATTTAATTAATTAACGACCTAGGTCCAAACCTTCTTGCCCTAGCCCTCCCCCCTGTCTTTATGCCTTGGTTTTCATGGGAGGAAAAAACATGGATACATATACTGAAAGGGGAGTGTTACAGAATGTCTCAAGAATCAAAATATTGATAACAGTGAAGATAAAACCCCTAGATGAACTATGCACTGCTGATGCACTTCACTGATGAGTGTAAACTTAGCTAGTGTCATCCTCTGGATGCCTTGTTGACAGATATTTAACTTAAAAGCCTAAATTCCTTTGAGTTCATGTGTAAAATTAGGATGCTATGATTACTCCATTTAGCATCTGTCTTTCCAGTTCTATGTGTGTGTGTAGATATATATATAGGGTGTGCACGTGAGCGCATGCATGTATTTTGTGAGAATTCATAAGTTATACAAATGTAAAAAATTGTTTCACTAAAGCAGAGTGGATACAAAACAGGACTGAATGCTACTGGAGGATTGTGAAGCATCAGACAGTAGACTAATGTAGTTACTGTCCACTTAAAGTGAAATTTATTGATGTGACTGTTTTAATGATTTCTATACTAACATCTGACCCTGTGACAGACTTTCTTTTGCTGTCTGCCACTGTATAAATGTAAAAAATTGTTTCACTAAAGCAGAGTGGATACAAAACAGGACTGAATGCTACTGGAGGATTGTGAAGCATCAGACAGTAGACTAATGTAGTTACTGTCCACTTAAAGTGAAATTTATTGATGTGACTGTTTTAATGATTTCTATACTAACATCTGACCCTGTGACAGACTTTCTTTTGCTGTCTGCCACTGTATCTTCCTAATGTGCTTACTATGGTTCTTCTATTCAATTAAAAAAGAAAGGAAAAAAAAGTGTTCATTTATTCAATTAAAAAAGAAAGGAAAAAAAAAAGTCAAAGGTAAAATTCCGTATAAAGAAACAAGGAGAAGGCTGGTTTTGAGGTCTGGCCTGAGGGTGTTTGCATTCCCGTTCTGCGTTTGTGAATATCTGTTACACAAGGGACATCTCTGTGCCAGAAAGGAGTGCGGGATCATTGGAACTATACTGATGTAAGTGCAGTGGAGTTAGAAAAATACCAGCTTCAATAGTAAAAGCAATATAGCGTAAGGCTTAATCTTTATATGATATATCTTACACAGGTTTATATTTATGCATGATACTCACACCCTAGGTAGTTTCAGAGCTGGAATCTCTAAATATACAGCAACTTAAGTGTATGGTTATATGGACAATTATACCCTCACACACACCGCTCCAGGGAAGTGGGCATGGGGAGGTGCTTTACCACCATTTCAGCTTGTACCTATGAAATGAACATTTAGGCAGAATTTTTTCAAATTCACCAAAGACTTGAAGAGCCATTAAACTCCCCTGAGTGGATTTGAAAAGCTCAACCCAAAGGGTTCCTTGGCCGGGAAGGAGACGGTGGCGTGTGGGGAGCTCTCCATGGTGCTCTGGACACTGAACCTGTTCTTGCTGGGCCGCAGGCAGCGGCTGCTCAAGCTCTTCCATGCGTGCTGCAGGTAGCGAGGTTCACAGGCTAGTAACTCCAAAATGTATTTTAAGACCTAACCCACTCTTCAAGCGTCATGGAAGTTCTCTCATCTGAGAGAGACTAGCCCCTAATTCACCATTGCAACTGAGAGTTAGTGCTTGAAATGCAGTGTGCAAAGAGAGCAGTTTCGTGATGCGTGTTTATCAAATCAGTGGAAGGAGGTATGACTGCAGTAGTTTAAACGCTAATAAACAAGCAATGCACGCTGATGTAGGCTACGTAATTAGTCTGAGTATAAAATGAAATGGTATTGTCTATGTCATGCAAAGTTCTCAAGAAGTGCTAATTTCCATCACATAGACTTTGTATACGTGCCAAGAACAAACTTGTTACAAGGTTGGTTTTTTTAATCTTGGCTGACAAATTTGTGTTTTGTGAGAGCACTTTTTGCAACTTTAATTCTTTCTAGTTTGACAAAGCTAGGAATAATTATATGGGTTGTATGACGGTAGAATTTTCATCTTTGGTGAAATTGGTTTTGGTGACTGGTGAAAATATTTTTATTGCCTTTCAAGCACAGCTAATTCCAACTTGTGATGTTTTGTTGCTGGGTTTTTTTTGGTTTGTTTTTTTTTTCTTTCCAACTCGCTGAATAAGGTTTGAGTTACCTAATTGTGGTGTTGGAAGAAATGTTAGGTAAAAGATTCTCTAGCTGTATTCAGCAGTTACTTGGTTGATATTTTCTTTCCAATAGTCACAATATAAGAGATTACTCTTGCATACTAGTTCGGTGGGGTTTGGGTTTTTTTGTTACTTCATTCCAGAATACACATTTCTGGAGGATCCTACTTAGCCCCATTCCATTTCACGTTGCCAGGAACCAGCTTATTCAGATTTTCTCTTAATTAGTGTTCCTTCTTTACAAAAATAATAGGGAATTCATATTTCTCCAATGTGTACATTAGCTTTTGAGTCAGCAATCAAATATTCAGTTTAATATAGCTGAATATTGAACTTAAGTTCTAAACAGTAGTGCATGCTTTACCATAGTTCTATATTTGTATTTGGATTTCTGGCAGAAGCGTGAATGGATTTGGGTCTAATCTGTAAAGTGCTGAGTATTCTGCGACTGTTACAATACCTACTTTATCTGATTGCTCTAACTCTTGGTGTTCATCCTTCATATGATACTTAGTATGTATCTTTGTAAGTTAGTTTATCGATGTCCCATGTTTTTAAATGAAGTGTTCATTCATGTGTTTGAGGTGATAAATTTTGTCAGCATTGCATTTATTATGTTTGTCTTGCCCCTCAGTACATTGAATATTTGTGTTTGACTATCCAGTGTTTTTTCTGCAGAATTCCTGGGTTGGTTTGCATCTTATTTGGTATATTATGTTTATTTTAAAGTGTCAGTTCTGTTTTAATTAATAAATGTAAATCACCACCTAATGCTAATTTGCCACTTGTTAACAATAAAGTAAATATGCCAATAAAACTTTTTGTGATGCACGCATTTTTGTAGCCAAATGTGAAATTGTCTTAAATGAAATAGCATAGGGATAGGTAACATCATTTCAACCTTATGAATATTGTGATGTCTTTGGTCTCAAGTACACCAGCCCTGATGTGAGGACCATCCACTGTCTTCTCCTAGTGGTTGGGAGAGAACCACTTAGTTATTCTTTTCGAAGGATCGGGGGTTTTAATTGACTTGCGAGATGAGATTTGGATTCCTCAGTCACCTTGAAAAATAGTCTATACCAGATATTTAAATCAGTGTGATCTGCTTACATAAAGTTAACTCTGTATCTCTTCTTTTTCCCAACTATATGAGGAGTTTAGTTTATACAGAGCCTATCACTGATACCTGTAGTAAATCATTCTTTTTTCTTTTTTTCTTTTTTTAAATAAGGCTGTAAGGTATAATATATAACCTAAGCTTGATCTGGGTTTGTTCTCCTTCACGAGATTAGAACACTGTTTTGTTGATGAAATGATTAAGCAGGGAAAAAAGCAGAAGTTGTATTTTTCCTGTAAAGTTCACTTATATGAGCAGAAATCATAATGAGGGTTTGGGTTCCTGATTTTTTTGACTAAATACGTATGAGTAGAGTCCAATTCCTCTCTTCTTTCCTCTTTTTAGGGGAAAGTTCCTCCTGCTGGGCTCTTTTGTTTACTTCACCACACCCTCTTCAGAGGAAGGCAGATATGTTTTCCCTTCATTCTGGATGAAATTCATTTATGTGCCAAGAGTCTGCAAAATCTCTTGTCACTGCTGAGATCGCATGATATTTCTCATGCTGGCTTCCTCTTTATTCTAGTTCACCATGAACCATTCCAATCAGATAGCAGGAGAAAAACAACAAAAACCCAGCAAAAACCTAAGTAGCTGCTGAATGAAACCTATCACAAAGCCAACATCTCTCTTGCTCAGCACAAAGCTGAAGAGGTGGAACGGGAAGGAAACATACAACCAGCCAGGAGAGGTTTACTCCTGCATCTTTAGCTGAAGAACTACAGCTGTAAATGCTCGTTTTATGGTGTAAAGTGAGATTTGAACATTCTCTTCCAGTGGCCTTCCTTGATCTGGCTTCTTAAACACCAGAAATTCTTCCTTCTCAATATAAACCACAGAGTACGTAACTCATTCTTGCTGTTAGAAATGTGCAACACTATCTTGCTCACAGGGGTTAGTCACCCTGTTCTGCTTTCTCATAATCCCTTGCAACATCAGTGCTAAAATTCTTTTTAGTAATTTAAATACCTAAGTTGTTTTCCCTTGACACCTTCCCATAAATTCCATGTCTTTCCAAATCGTGGTTTTGACCTACTCATATTCCTTCTTTGCTGTGGCCAAATAAATAAATACATAAATGAAAGTGGCAGGGAGGTAGGTGTGGTGGCGATACCCTGCAAGGTTTTCATCCCTTCGCCCATTCCTGCAGAGCAGTTTATCGTTGTCACATTCGTAATTTCAGGAGAGACCAGAGAAGGTTCTCAAATGAAAGGAACAAATCAAAGAGCGCAAGTCACTGTATTTAGCAGTTAGTCTTTCAAATGTAAGTGGTGACTCAGGAAATTTGGCAACAAGAATCAGGCAGGCAGGATATTTATTAAAAGAAGCAACCAGAAAAACCCCACAATTTCATAATCACTCAATTTAAATTTCTGCTCTGGATCTAACCTTGGTCTTTTCCCCAGGACAGGCCTGAAACTGCTTGATTTGCCTCAAGGTTTAAGTCGTGCGCTGCTGCTGAAGTCATTTATGCTGACTGAACTTCCAGTTTTGTAGTAGCTAATATTGCATCTGTGTGTTTTTTTTTTTTTTTAATTCTCACTGACCTTTCCTTGCCAAGTGATTATTAGGAAGTAAGTCTTGGCTTTCAACTGTTCCTGAATTTCCAAAAAGAAAGCAACTGTTCTTCAGTCTCCTGGGACTTCTTTCAGTAGAAGGGATTTCCAGAGAAGTCCTTAAAATAGTGGTCATATTCTCTTTTCTGCAGTATGATATTGGGAAATCTGTTTCCCTTTCCTATTATGTAAGAGTTATGGGTTGGGTTTGGTTGGGTTTTTTTCAGTGTTTGGAATTAAAGTTGCAATGTCTTACATCAAGAGATAAAGAGAATATGTGAAAGCCTCAGTCACAGTTTTACAGATACTACTCCTACCCCAAGAAGTCTCTTCTCCATAAATAGATGGGGGGTTGGAGGGGGTGTATTCCAGGAAAGCATAACAGGATGTTTGCTTCGCTCTTAACCTCTTCCCTCACCGTTAGCAGTAGGGCACACCAGGTTTCATGGATTCTGTGCAGCAGATCTTATTCCAGTCAAAGGAGATCTGTACAGTTCTTTGAAGCACATCCCACCATTTTTTCAGGTCTTTGTTCTGAACACCAGAAATTTTTCAGAGTGGTTCCACGGAAAATTTATTTTAGCACAGGTAAAACAATGTATGTTACCTTACTCCGAACCAGGAAACAACAGGCTGACTTAACTAAAGATTTCCCAAACTATTTAGTCCAAGGCAGGTACCTGGTATGGAAATGTTTACCTAAACTGACCAGGTTACAAGCAACTAAGAAATAGGTATTTTATAGTGGGAAGTCCCAAGCGGCTGGAGGTTACATTACCAGCTGTGCTTTTAATGACTAGCTGTGAAAAAAAGCTAAAAAAGGAGTAATGACCCCCAAAAAGTCAATAGCCCAATTCCATAGAGGACAAATATTTTATTACCAAAGGAGTTATAGTATCAAAGAAACTGTGAGAGTTATAAACAACTATAAAAATACTTCTATTTATCCAAAATTAAATATGAACACTTTATTCGTTAAATGCCAATATATTATTCTCTGAAAATATTCACACATTTTAAGTCATGTTTGTCTAACATGTTAAACACGTTACATAAAATAATTGCATATAAGAAATCACAATCTGAAGGTAAGAAAATCTAGCTCCTCCTGCAGCTAGCTCTAGGATAACCAAATACATAAGGCTAGAGGGTGAGTGCCGTTTCCAGTCAGCTGAACAAACCTACATTCAAGGCATCTCCTTTTTCGCCTTCCCTAGGTCTTGCTGTCTTGCCTCTACTTCAGCCAGTAGAAGTGTGCTACATCTCTCAAAAATCAGTACCTTTCCTAAGTTTCTCAAAAAGTTAACCTTTTCCACTATTTTTCCAAACCTAAATCAGTTTGCAAACCCATTAGATACCCGCGCTGAAAACATCATTACATCAGCAGAACAGACCCAAGATCAGCTGCTGCTTTGCTACATTGTTCCTTTTTGTCCTTGATGCGTTTTATATAGCTATAAAGAAACCAGCTACTTTTCCATACTGTTTTCTTCACCTGCAGCTTGTAAGATGTTTTTATAAATTGCAGTTGACATGTGAGTAGATTGCTTTCATATGACGGTATTATAAAGTTACTCGAAAGATCAGAAAATTCAAAGTAGTTTCCAGAGCACAAAGGTGGGACCCAGCCTTCTGCAGAGTTCTTTGTTTCAAATGCTGGTCTTTTATTTCCAATTCTTGGACTTCAGCAGCTTGGTTTAGCCGTTTCTGTTTATTCCGTCTCCAGGAACAAGGTACAGTAGCTTTCCATCAGAATTCTGGCATAAAGTGTTCATATAAACGAGCACAGTTACTCGAAGAATGCATATAAAATGCAGAGATACCAAGTAATGCCACTTCGAAAGAAAAGAGCAGGATTCACCTGGAATCACCTGGAAATTATTTTCTCAAATTTATTCCAGCAGGATCGAAGGCTAGATATATTTTCTTTCAGTTCACAAAATTCTTGGTTACATTTCTTTTTGGACTGTTCACCTGTTTCTGTATCTTCTTTATTATGTGTATTTACCTGCATGCAAACCTGAAAAAGAATAGTTTGTATTGTTAATTGAGAGGTGCTCATTCTTTTCATATAGACATCTTTTAAAACAAACTGATTCCATTACATCTCAGTAAATAATGGAGATACCTTACATGGTAATTAAGCCAGAAAGCTGGCCTACTCACAAAACGTGTCATGGCAGTACACATGCACCCCATGGTGCCTATGGGGAGGCTTTTTGATGTTGGTCAATATTTTTGTGTTCAATAGGTAACTGAGAGCCACACTTAAAAGAACGCTCTTCCTTTGCTATGGCAGTCTGTAAATCATTACACTAGATTTGAGTGACACATCAAAAAGCAGATTCTGCCAATGACTAAAAATCCAAATATTTTCATATCTAACTGTTTTTGTTGAGTTTGAGATATTGTGGTTAAAATAAAGATCAAAGGGATTATGGAAAGGAGAGAAACTCCCACTAATCATTGCAACAAACCAAATTAAACATTAATCTTAGGGTAGAACCCCAATAAGAAGTAACAACTATGATTTTATACACTACCGAAGTTGAAGGCCTTCTTCGCACAAGTATGCTCTTTGTCTTTTACTGGAGAATTAACTCAGGTATTTCAGTACTGAACCAGAGTACGTATGTTCACTATAGACTTCCGGGTCGTTGTCCTACTTAGCCTTTGCACTGGGCTTAATGTCTATTACAAGACATATGCTAGACAGAGCAAAACTCGTCATGCGTGTAACGTGTGCACGATAGTTGTACCTTTGAGAGGTAGATATGATAGTTTGTGTTGAAGAGCTCTAAGGAATAAGTCGCATACTTCCGATAAACTGTAGACCATCGCTACCACTCACCTTTTCTTTTTTATGTCTTTCACATTTGCACTGTAGAAGCTGTAGTGTCCCACATGAGACTAATGCTGCTTTCCATCTGAAGCTTTTGCTGATTTTTTGCTTGTGAAAGAATCTGAGCATGTTGCATGCCATACCCTGTAGTGATTCTATTTCCTGTAAAGAGAGCAAGAAAAATATGTCCTGAAAAGTCTGTGCACCATTAATTCTTTATAATGTTGGTTTGTCTTTAAAAAAAAAGCTCCATCAGTTACCATTAGCTTCTTTTGCTTTCATAGTGCCATTCTTTTCCAATAAAATACATGACTAATCTGACCTACCTGCCATCTCTTCAAAATGTTTAAAGTATCAATTTGTAGTAGTAATAATAATAATAGCGTAAGGATGTTAGGGAGAAATCATAGCTGTAATGAATCAGCTGATGCAGTTAGGAAAACAGTGAATGATTTTTGGAGTCAGTCCTTTTATCAAATCATGATAAAAATTGAAGCAACAGCTGATAATTGTGCTTTCTGTCATTTGAGATTGCCCAAACTATTACTTTTAAAGCTTTCAGATCTGAAGTGAAAAGCTTAGCTAATATGATTTTCTGTAGAAAAATGAAAACAGATGTTGGGAAATTTTTGTTTACTTCCACTGCCAAAATAAAGTAAGTTTTCTGTACTGTTTTGGATTAAAAATATAAAAGAATCTTTATAGTAGGGGGAAAAAAGCATTTCTTGGATATGGAATTGCTTAATATTTTAATTTTAAAAATATCAATTTACTTGACAAATTTTGTGATTCCAAATTCAAAAAAGGAACAACCCTGAATATCATAATTCGACTATTAAAAGGTAATATTACTCTCTATCACAATATGTTATTCAGGGACCGGACTGTACAAAGAACCCATTTGAGTTTGTATTCTCTAAAGTAAATTCTGAGAAGTTAAATTTTACCTGAGTATCATTGCAGAAAAACACTTTGCTATTTTCATGTTTTTTATTCTTGCAGCACCTGTCACGATACTCTGCAGACATATTTACCTGTAAAATATCATATATGTTTAAACATGGAAGTACTTTTAATCAAGTGAGCCAAGCTTCTCACTGACAGCTGGCGATGTCAACACTGAATTGTTCTGTAGCATCTCCTCAGGTGTAGCAGGGTCAGTGTACAATTCTGAGCTTTTCCTTGGCAAGCAGGCAAAGAAAACCCCAATCCAGCTACGATTTCTAAAGGTATTCACAGAATCACATAGAATCACAGAATGGCTGAGGTAGTGAAGGGACCTCTAGAGGTCATCTGGTCCAACCCCCCTGCTCAAGCAGGGACACCCAGAGCAGGCTGTCCAGGACCATGTCCAGATGGCTTTTGAATATCTCCAGGGATGGAGACTCCACAACCTCCCTGGGCAACCTGTGCCAGTGCTCGGTCACCCTCACAGTGAAAAAGTGTTTCCTGATGTTCAGAGGGAACCTCCTGTGTTTCAGTGTGTGCCCATTGCCTCTGGTCCTGTCACGGGGCACCACTGAGAAGAGCCTGGCTCTGTCCTCTTTGCACCCTCCCTTCAGGTATTTCTACACATTGATGAGACCCCCCTGAGCCTTCTCTTCTCCAGGCTGAACAGTCCCAGCTCCCTCAGCCTTTCTTCATTAGATGCTCCAGTCCCTTAATCATCTTCGTGGCCCTTTGCTGGACTCTCTCCTGTAGCTCCATATTTCTCTCATACTGGGGAGCCCACAACTGGACAGAAATCTATTCATTTTAAGCCTTCCTATTCTATCGAATTACTTGGTTCCTTGGCATTTTAAAACATACAGGAATATTTAAATCTCACGCAGACATCAAACACAACGTTTGTCAATGTTTGTCTCAATAAATACATGCCCCAGGCATCTAAACAGATTGTAGCACTCACTTTGCATATGCACTAACAGAAGATGTCCTAAGCAATATCACTTGCTCCCTCTGCGTGACCATAATCTGTTATCAATGGATTATTCTCTGGTGTTTTTTTTTCTTCTACTTTCACACTTGTCATCGAGATGACAACTGAACCCAACTCAACAAAATTCTTTCGCTTTCTTCTTCAGCCTGTATCCAGATAACCTAATACAACCAGAAGGGCTTTAAAAAAGGCAGCTCATGACAATATTGTGCTAGATCTCCTCACTTAGGCATGCATATAAGCACATTAGACAACTTAATTCTTAAAGTTTTTCTGCATATTTTTGTGTAACATTGCCTGTATTTCAGAAGTTCACCCAAGATGAATAGAACTTCATCCAGGAAGTGTTTTCAAAACCAAGAGTTTAGGGAGTCAAATATTCACTGACCAAAAAAAAAAAAAAAGAACAAAAACATATGGAAGATAATGCACATCTCTACTTGTACCACAACAGAATGAAGTTTTGCTGCAGTCACACAGCACCAAGATTTAAAAATAAATAAATAAATAAATAAATAATCACCCTAAAGCCTATATATCTGTGGCTTCATTTGCTAACTGCTAAGGGATTTACCCATTCTCACTGACTTCCTCAGATCACCTTTAGTATAACGTACAGTAACCATTTCTGAAAGCAGTTTATTGGCTGTGACTAAAGCAACCTAAGGGAAATCCTGGCCTCATAAAAGGCCTTAGTGAAAATCAAATTAACTTATGGAGGTCTAGTATATAACCCACTAGTCATCTCCGTAACTGCCTCCAAACATCAGGCTGAGGGACTGAAAGTTACTGACTTTGGCTCTGCAATTGCAGGAAAGTGCCTAGTGGGCAGTTGCTATCACCCAAACAGCACTGTCCATAGCATTTGCTGTTAAGTTATAGTGACAAGACTCTACATAGAAGACATTAAACTGGGAAAAATAAAGACAGGAAAATGAAGAAACTTCAGTTTCTTGAAGCTTCTACTACTTCTACATGCGCAGTAGTTGCTTGTGCCTGCCTATTCTAGGAAGTAAAAGCTTCAGAGTTCAGTACATTCCCATTACCTTTCATAAACATTAATTCATTAAGGTTTTATTTATTTATTTATTTATTTATTTGGATAACAGTTTTAGTCGTCATACAGTCTCCTAAAAAACTCTATCTCTGAAAAAACTCTATAATATTTACTACAATAAAAAAGATAAAGACTTTCAAAATGTATCTGAAAGAATGGCACTGCTCCGTTCAAATCCTTGATGGCACCCTGGGGCACCGAGTACATCAAGCTTCATCCTGCAGCCGAGCAGTGGCAAGGCATTGCCACCTCCAGCCCAGCACACCCCCCCCAGCTTCCCTGACCCCGCAGCTCCAGCAGAGCTGGGATGCGCCTCATGGCTCTCCACCACAGGAAGACAGCAGGATCTGCCTCCCAGAGGCTGTTATTCCTGTCATATTGTTTTCTCTTATAGGTCAGCTATCTTATAACTGCTCACCAAGCGGGTTTATTTTTGTTCTCTAGGAAACACTTGTCTTCGTCAGAAATAAGATGACAAACTAAAGGGGCTACTTATCTATTCTAATACAGCCATGAGTATTTTCCCCAACTTCGGTGCCTTGCTCAGGATAAGGTCATTTATCTATGGAGAAGTACACTTCTCTCTGCATACTCTCAACAAACACAACATGATCAGAATGTTTCTGAAGGTTAAATGATCGTTCCCTGACCCTAAAGGTATTTTGTTTCCAGAGGAGGGCTGATGTGTCTTGGTAGAGAAAGGTTGGAAACCACTGGCATAATGCTCTGAAGGATGGTGGTGGATCATAAGTATGAATAAATACAATGGCTTCTGATTTCACCTTTGGAAAAGCACTGTATATCACTTGTATTTCATGCAAATAGATCTTGATTTAAGACCGCAACAGAATGGTGAGTTCTCCTTTAGTGACAAACTGTTAGAAAAATCCCATTTTCGTAGAAATGCTTCCGCTAATCCAACTATGGAAAGTGCTTTCTCCCATGAAAGTGTTCTTGACACATGAATTTAGTTGTTAATAATTCATGATGAAGAGTTGGAAGGTAGGTTTTGGGCATGGATCGGTAAACTGTTATGATACTGTTTTGCAAAGCTGTAATAAATCTGGCTGATAAAGCCGTAATGGAAAAGATTTACAACTGAGAAAGTTTTTCTCTGCTGCCATCTTGATTCTTTGTTGGCTAAACAAGATATATTAATAGGTAAAATACAAAGAAACTTTTATTGTTGTATGAATTTTGTGCCTCTGTGCATTTGCGTTCAGTGGACAACATAAAACTTCAGTCAAGAAGTCTACAATTAGTAGAACAAAGTACAGGTTGTGTAATGCTTTCTTCTCTTGATAAGAAGATACAAACAGAAGTAGTCATGAAATTACTTCAGAAAAGAGTACGTTTTAATGTAATATACTATTTAGGGCCAAATGGTACATGTGTCTAACTACATGGTCAACAGGCACAAATACCTGTATCACAGCATTTGTACATGCAAATAGGCAGCATCCACAGATTTCAGAGATTTTAAAGAGACTGAATTGTCGCACCCCCTCAAATAAAGCCACCGTTCCAGGATAATGTGTGATTTTAAATTGGTCTTTTATCGTATGTTAACATTAGAGCTTTTTTTTTAGTTACTTGCTATCATCTAAAAATAATCAACATTTTTTGAAAGCCCAAGAGCTATTACCTACCAGCTCATCGATGTCATGGCTTAGTATATTCTCATACTTCACACGGATTTCAGTTGTTCTATTTCCCATTGCACAACTAGATGAATTCACTGGAGACAGAACAAGGAGCAGTGGCAGAACCCGAAAGATAGATCTAAAAAAGGCTGAATTACAACAAAAGCAGATAAGTACATATTAAATGCCATAGAGTGTATGCTGTATTAACAAATACATTCTGTATTCTGTTTAAATAGTTTAAAAGGGATCTTTGTACGACCAAATGACTTGTACCTTGAGGGAAGGATTCAGGTCCAAATTAAGACACTATCTGAGTGTCTAAACTCCCTCGTACTCAAGGATGATTTAGCCAGCGTGGTTAAGAGCCTACAGCTATTGAGGTGACCAGCCACTTGGTGTCTACTTGGGCTGAATTAATCTCCAGGCTTCACTGCAAGCATTGACGATGTCTCTCCATTGACCATAATTGGACCATAACCACCTAGTACATACGTAGACAAGTAAGTGTCTTAGTCAAATAGGTGTAGACATTCAAGTGTCTTAATCTGCAGCTCAATCTCATCCTAATCGTCCATTTTTCATATGATATATTCTACAAATGCCCATGAACATGTCTTTACGTCTAAAGTGTGTTTAAACACATTTTCAGGCTGACAAAATGTACAGAGTGTACTTCTGTGTACTAGTGGCCATAACATGAGATAAGGTGGCAACACACCCTTCTCTGCAAGACTTTTGCAATCTTTTGGAGCAAATCTCACTGCCCCTCACTTTGTTTCTCCCTTCAGTAGACCATCTTGCTTTGCTCAGACCCCTGGTCTTCTGTCCTTGCATGACATCCAGGAAAACAGGAGTTCTGTGAGGATGGGCAGAGAGAAAAGACCAAAATATCAGAAGAGCCTGAAGGGACTGACAGCGTAACTGGAGGCTGCAGGTGACTGGCCTGATGCTGGGAACGAGGGAGACTGGGTACAGGACGATACTGGGATTAGGAAGGTCATAATTGGACTCTGGCCTACAGCTAGACTGGCTGGGATGCTGCTTAAATGGAAGGTTTGGGAAAAAAACAAAGCTAGACATTTAGGTTGGAGGATTAGCAAAGATCACAGCAGGTTCCTGGACTGGGATGCGCTGTTTCTACTCATCCCTGCTACTCAGTAAGAACAACAACTGCATACAGTGTAACGGTGGGGTTGCAGCCAGGAAAGGCAGAAGGGATGCCCTGATCCTAGCTGCTACTTTCCTTCCTCTCTGGCAGGGATGGGAGCATTGGGTACAGTCAGTCCAGCAGTCAGAGATGGGCGTCTCTGGACTTGGACATCACGAGTAAATCCCAGCCTCAGAGAGAAATCTTGAATAACTAAGAAGAAAGCAATGAAACTTGACCATAATCTTTACTGAGCCACCTAACCTCCGCGATGCAAGAACCACAGTCACACCATGCGCTCATCTGCCATTCAGAGAAACACAGTCCCTCACAGCCCAGCCCAGCTGACTCCCACTGCGCACTGCTGCTTCAAAGCAGAATGCATACCACTTTTCCTGACGACCAAAGCCTTTTTTTGTGATAGATCACTTGTGAGCACGCTGTTATGTACACCTCTGTCCTAGAAACAGGACTGGAAGATTTTTACTTGTACAAGCTGCCTGCCAAATTTTAATGGGAAATATGATGGCCTGAAAACCAGATTTTCTAACCTTTTCATATACTGATCAACAGAGGTCTATTAATATCTAAAAAAATCTAGCCCGAAGAGCTAAATGGATCCTAAATGGATCCTACATGTAGTAAATATAAAAACTAGGTAAGGCAAATCTATTATGATCTTCAAGCTCCAAGTGGAGACCTGAACTCCACAGAGCTTTATCTTTGTAAATCTCTATGCTAACTATATCTATGCCAAGCGAACTATCAATTTGTAGGACTGAGATTTAATATTTTAAAAGAAGTTTACAAAAAATGCAAGAACTCAATTACAGGACAACATTTTTCCAATATACCATTGCAACTCTTGATTCCAGTGGAAAAAAACAACTGCAATGCTTCTTTCCAAGTAACAGTGAAACCAGCAACTTGGATATGCCGCTTCAAAAACATGCTTCAAAAGACACAAAGAACAATCTTCTGAATTAAAATCAGTCTAATAGATTCCATCACTTAGAACTTGGTTTGTCCAGCAACAAGTGGAGCTAATAGGTGAAAACTGTCACTTCTTCTATTTTTACTTTCTCTGTATTGTACAGATTGTGAACCTTTTTTAAATGAGGAAATTACAGAATCAAAGCAGATAATTCTGGAAGAGATGTTGCACGCTCATGAAGTCCCTTGACCCCTTGCAGGATCGCGATGAAACCTCTTCAGCCACTCCTAAATGAGTTCTCCGGAACCCATTAGACGAATGTCGTTAAAAGTTTTAGGAGCTTTGGACTGTGAATTGAAAGGATTTTTCTTAAAGTTAGGTAACTTCAAAAGAAGTGGAATCGATAGGGCTCCATACGACCAGCACTTCAAAAGAAAGGGAGCATGTATCACTGGTAATACCCCATCCTTCCAGTAAATTCCCAAAAACTCCTAAGTCATATCTGGAAAGCCCCAGAAAATTCTCCCAGAAAAGCCAGGAAGAGTTAGTATTCCAGTATTTCCAAACATAAAAAAAGCCCCTCGGTTTTTTTAGTTAGAAAACCCCTCTTGTGCATGCAGCCTGCCAGTGCCACCCGGCCCCCCACCAACCACCCGCAATCTCC